GGGCCCGGGTGAAGAACTTCTCTGTGAGAGCCGGCCCATCTCGGCTGCCTCACTGAGAAAGCCTCCAGGAAACAGCTTGCGACGGTCCACTCGCTGTGTGGGGGACTCAAGGAAGGAGGTGGCCTCCACGTTAGCAGTGGAAGCCCACACTGGCCCATACATCTGCTGCGAGTGTGGAGAAGGATTCTTGGACAAGCAACTCTTCACCAGCCACCAAAAGAGTCACGGTGGAGGAGGCAGTTACCCTGCCCTAGACCCCGGAGGGGGCTCAAAGGCCAGACCTGTTCCCTTGGTCTTGCAGAGAGCTCCGACTCCAGCCCGGGCCAGAGCCCCCAAACGTCCTGAGCCCCAGAGGAGTTCTGCTTTCCGGCCTGGGGCTGGGAAACGCCCAGGAAACCACATGGTTGACCGTCCATACACTTGTACTCAGTGCAAGGAGAGCTTCAAACTGGAGGTGAGTTTGCTCCTCCACCAGAAACTCCACACGGGGAAAGGCGACGGGCCCCTGACCTGCACCTACTGTGGCAAGGACTTCCGTGACCTCTCCAAAGCCGTCCGGCACCAGCGGATCCACACGGGCGAGCGGCCCTACCAGTGCACCGAGTGTGGGAAGAGCTTCATCCGGCGAGATCACCTTCTCAAGCACTGGCGTGTCCACACCGGCGAGACGCCCTACCAATGCGCCACCTGTGGGAAAAACTTCCGCTACAAGGAGTCTCTGAACTGCCACCAGAAAATCCACACTCGCAACCCCATGACGACAACACACCACTTTGCCCTGGGGACCCCCACTGGGCTCCTCGGCTTGAAGCAAGAGAAGCCATAGCACCCCCTCACGCTTATGCGGGAATTGGCCGCGCCTGGCAGAATGCTGAAAAGCGGACCCAAATTGCCTCCCTGATCATACCAGGGCATGCTGGGAGATGAGAGAAGAGGCCTCTGTCTTGGCAACTCTTAGAACCTGATTTGCCCTGCACTGCACAAGAGGGTTAAGATCAGGCTTAGACATAAGCTACATCCCAGGTGGGACCCAGTTTGCACTTGAGTGGGCCTTTGTGGTTTTCCAGGGGGCCTACCACCCCTGAATTTGTTCCATCTGGGAAGAGGACTGAGTTGTGAGTTCTCTGGAGAGAGCAGCATCAAGCGATAATTCACGGTTTCTCCCTTGGGCACGCGCCAAACCCGAGTGTCTCAGATTTCATATTTCTGCCTCATTCAGTTGCTCCCTGAGCCTTCTTGAGGTGGATGTTCACACACAGAGATGCAGACACATATACAAATATACACATGCATGCAATGCAGAGCAAGGATCAGGAATTTGAAAACAGACATGCAAGATGGCACCATATAAATTAGTTCCTCCTTCTCTCCCTCTCCTTTAATCCTACTTGGGAAGGGCTAAGCTGCCCCCATCAGAGTTCCTAGCCCTGTTAAGCATCCCTTCTACAGAGCTGGAGTCAAATCAATCCTTTTCCAGTTAATTATTGTTAGTAAAGGTGTGTGTGTGTGCAGTTTTCCCCCCTTTCAATTTGGTTTCTTGAGTTTTAAAATGCATTTGGTTACACTCCCAAGTAAATGTGTACAAGTTGAGAGCAGCTTCAACCAGACTCTGTAATGGGTTATTGCTGGTTGTTCTAAGCCAATGCCAAGAGCTTGTTGTAGTGTTGTGTCACCGTATGATGTTCCAGCAGGACTTGCCGCCTGTACCATCACACCCGTTTTCATACACTCCAAGGCATCAGAGAACTGTCCCCCTCGCCGCCACTGCTGCTACTGCTGTCTTGTTGTTGTTGATGTTGTTGTTGTTGTTGCTATTTTTTTTAATTTGCAAGAGGCACCTTTGTAAATATTGGTTGAATTATCTATGAATTTCAGTGTCGTTGAACTAAATGTCGCTGAGGTGACTGTAATGAACCAGCTTTTTTCCTCCATGTTGACGTCAGGTGTTTGGTCTGTGCCTGCTGCCTTCAGTTTTGATTTTCATATTCTTTTGGTAACACCCAATTTTGCAAAACTTGTCAATACAAATGTGTCTCTTCTGAAGTCCTTGTCATCTCTGGGGAGGAAGTGAGATGAAGCTATGTGTGGTCAGTCATGGGCTGGTTTCTCCATGACCTGAGACTCTTGTTGGCAAGCTTGCTTCCTGGCACTGTAAATGCCAGGGACTGTAAATGGCAGGGATGCCAGGGAGAGGGGTAGAATGCCCAAACGGTGGCATAAGGAGGAGGCGGCTAACATTTTTGGGGTGGCAGGAAATCCATGTTGACTGGAGGGGACCATGCCCAGGTCTTGTGGAGCACCAACATTACCATCATCTAGTAAGCTCACAGATTATTCCCTATGTTTCTGACTAAACACTAGACATAGTTTATCAAAGGAAACAAAGAACATTCTATTATTTGCTGCTTTGGAAGTGTTACATACATTTTAACAAGGTGTTAACATTTTTTTTAAAGGAAATGGGAACAGCAGTCCTCCCAAATCCATTGAGGAAGGTATGTGTGGTCTCCAGACCTCAAGCAGTCGTATCTTTTACAGTGGCACAAACCCATGTTGTGTTCCATCCTGTCTGATGTTCTATCACAGGCACCTACCATGGCCATTGTGATGGGAAAGCCAATTTGGTTGAGGTTGATCTTGTATCCTTGGTGGGAGCTGCTTTTCTGTCAATCTGTGGCCCTAAATCAGTTGACTACTTAGTGCTAGGGATCTGTACTGCAAGACCCCTGCCTCTGCCACTACTTTGGTCCTCTTTTGCCACCACAGTCCATAGACCGCACTGATGGATGCCTTAGATCAGGGACAGGCAACCTTTTTGAGACCTGGGCCGGTCTCCC